CCACTGACATTTCCGAAACTGCCTCCCCAAATTTATTTTGTAAGGGGCTTATGTTCAATTCAACATCTCTCTTCCTTTTTAATACATAGTAAATATTTTGTTCAGCCACACCTATGGGATCAGGAATGTACCAATTGATCCAATATTCCAGATAATCTACAGGTCCATATCATCAATGGAAAAACATGCACTAAGTAATAGAAACATAATGCAGGGGGGTACACATATCACTGTTAGTCTTTATTTACAGCATAAATCATTTCAATAATAATGAGACTCTGCCTTAGATGAAACTTGCTGGGAGAAAGCCCACTCACTTACACCCTTAACTACTCGGACATAGTGATATTGAGAAGAAATTGACTGGAAATTGAATCAACTGTTGATATTTCATGTGGCCAGTTGATTGAACAACAAATATATTTACATTGAGGTGAATAAATTTAAAAACGATAATAACTGGACAGAACAATACGGTAAACTTTGCAATATTTGAGGTGTATAATTTTTGCCGGTTTATTAAGAAATGGTTCCAATAAGAATTAGTATTAAGTGAGTCAGAGTTGGGTTCCTTCAGACATTTCCCACTCAAACTAAAATAATGCATGTGCTAAAATACTGTACCATACATGTGCAGCACTACGCGTTCCTAAGTTGCAAAATAAATTGTATCAGTAAATATGAACAAAATGTAATGTAGGAAAGATTGTGGGTAATCCGAGATGGAGGATTGGAAAGAAATTGTGGCTGTAAGAGCTGCTCCTTTTTCAAGGTATTTTTGAATTCGAGGAGCGGTAATCACTGTTTTATAAGCTGTTGCATCGTTTTGGAACTATGGGGAATAAAGATCAAAACAATGCACTTGGAAGGGGATTTAAATGGAGGAAGAAACCTACACTGCTGTTTGACCTCGCACTGAATTTGAACAGCTACTACCTCTGCTGTTTGATTTCCCATATTTCCGGACATCGGAGTTCATCAAAGAAAAATGAACAAACAGCGAAATTCACAGCCGACCTTGAAGAAACCGATGTGGCAGAGCTCACAGCAAGGGAGCAGCTAAGTGACTTTTTCGAAAATGTAACCTTACTGTTTATTTTGTACAGTTACAACAACGGGTAGGGTGGGTTCTTTTTAAATAATATGTTTTATTGAGATCTGTCTTTTGATTAAACTTTTAAAAATATAAAACGTAGATACTAAGTTAGCCTGGAGCAACGTTTTTTTTTAGAGCAGTAAGAATGTGCTACTTTCTGGGTCTGTAGATAGTTGAGGTGGAAAGATGGCCTTTGGTAGAGTGAATGCGTCCCTCCTTTCGGATGTGGGACATTAGGGCGAATTTCCATGTTACTGATGATTATGTCTGCAGGAAGTGTATTTGGTTGAGAATCCTATCGGATCACATGGATCGGTTGGAGCGGCAGTTACAGAAGCTAGGGGGTGTGATGGATGGCAGTTGGAGGAAGGGAGAAAAACCACAGATACACTCAGGTAGATGGGTTACTGCCACGAAAGATAGGAGAGGGAGGCAGGTAGTGCAGGAGTCTCCTGTGGTTCGCCCCATCTCAAACAAATATGCTGTTTGGGGGTTCAGGTCCCCGAAAGTAGCCACACAAGTATATAGGTTGGTAAAGAAGGCATATAGCATGCTTGCCTTTATTGTTTGGGAAATTGGGTACAAGAGTCAGGATGTCATGTTGCAGCTTTATAAGAGTGTGGTTAGGCCACACTTAGAGTACGGTGTTCAGTTCTGGTCACTACATTACAGGAAGGATGTGGAGGCTTTGGAAGGGGTGCTGAATAGGTTTACCATGATGCTGCCTGGATTAGAGGGTATGAACTATAAGGAAGGACGAGAAAAACTCAGGTTGTTTTCTCCTGAGCGGAGACTTGGTAGAGGTCTATACAATTATGAAATGCATAGATCGTTGTCAGTCAGAATCTTTTATTTTCCCGCCAGAGTTGAAATGTCTAAAAATAAGGGGCATACCTTTAAGGTAAGAGGGGAAAAAGTTCAAAAGAGATGTGAAGGGCACATTTTTTTTTACACAAGAGAGTGGTAGGTGCCTGGAACGCATTGCCAGGGATAGTGGTGGAGGCAGACATGAGGGGCGTTTAAGGAGCTTTCAGATAAGCACATGTATATGCAAGGAACGGAGGGACATGGGCCAAAGGCAGGCAGAAGGAATTATTTAGATTTGGCGTCACGTTCGGCACAACATTGTGGGCCAAAGGGCCTATTCCTATGCTGTACTGTTGTATGTTCTATGTTGTAGGACAGCTTTTGAGATGAGTTTGAAAATGTAAGAGTGCATGAGTATGAGAGTGAATGTGTGCTTGCATGTCTGAGTGTGAGACAGTGTGTGTGTGTATGTGTCGAGAAAGTGCCTGCAAGAGAGTGAGTGTACATTAATGTAAGATGAGAGTGCAACAGTACTAGTATGAGTGAGAGTATGAGGGTGAGTGTGTGTGTGCATGCGTGTGGGTCTGTGTGCCTGAGAACATCTGTGTGTCCAAGTGAGGGATGAGTGTGTGAAGTGACAGAGTGTGTTTGTGTGAGATGTGTGTGTGTGTGTGTGTGTGTGTATGTGAGAGTTTGAGTGTGACTGTGTGTTTGAGTGTGGGTGTATGTTAGATTGGGGAATGATGTAATTGCAGAAGTGTGAGGTTGCACGTGTACCTGACAGTGTGTGTTAGAGTACATGAGAGACAGAGAGAGGGACAGTGCAAGGTAAGAGCATGTGTGTGATAGAGAGCGTGTGTTAGATTGTGTGCATGTGTGATTGTATAGGTGTGTGTGTCATAGTGTGTGTGCGCGAAAGAGTGTGGAGATGAGTGTGTGCACAAGACTGTGTTTATGTATGTTATATTGATTATAGAAGTCTGTGTGTATGAGAATGTACAAATGTCAGAGTAAGTACTTGTGCGTTTGCATGTAAGAGTGTATGTGTAAGTGTGAGTGTTTGAATGAGATGAGAGTATGTAATTATGCATTAAATGTGTGTGTGAAAGTGTGAGCATTAGGTTGCGCTCGTGTGAGGTTGTGAAAATGTAATTAAGAGTGCGATTGTCAGCGGGAGTGCATTACTATAAAATTTGAGATTGTGAAACCATAAATATAACTATTGATCCTCACTTTAGAATCCTCAGTGGGAATTTTATCCCACTTCTCTTTGTTGGTTTTTACCTGATTGGAATTCCCTCACCAAGACTTTTAATTACCACCGCGTGGAATGCCCTGCCTGCAACAGTAGTAGACTCGCCAACTTTAAGGGCATTTAAATGGTCATTGGATAAACATATGGATGATAATGGAATAGTGTAGGTTAGATGGGCTTCAGATTGGTTTCACAGGTCGGCGCAACATCGAGGGCCGAAGGGCCTGTACTGCGCTGTAATGTTCTATGTTCTATGTTCAAGTGATGAGTTACACTTTGGGTGTGTGTTCCAACAAAGATTTAATGACATCTTAACATGGAATGACTTGTGATTTCACTTTAACACCATTTAGTGAATTGATTGCCACAAACTTCCTGTTGTGGTCTGCCTGTATAAGTGACCTTTACCCCCAACAACTACACCCTCGGTCCCTCCTTGTGTTGTATTCCTAGCTCCTCCTCCTCTCTCCCAGCCTCGCCTTGTCCCACAACATTGTTCCCAAACCTTGCCCACCGTAAAGTTTTAGTTTGGAGTTGGGGATTGTTCACTTGCTCCTGTGTGAGCTCTTGTTGCGAATTCTCCCATCCTGAGGTCCATCCAGTCACAGATACTGTACAGAACAGGTAGTCCTGAGACATTCCACTAGATGGAACTGGTCAGTCCACAGAAACAAACGTAGCTGTGTGGTACTAAATGTTGGACCTACATTTTGTTCATTTTCACTGATGCATTTTGTTTTGCAGGTTAGGAATGCATAGTGCTCCACATGTATAGTACAGTATTTTAGCCTGTGCATTGCTTTATTTTGAGTGGTAAGTGTCTGAAGGAACCACCACACACACACACACACACACACACACATCCATGCAGCGAATTATCCCATACAGGAGATGTGTTTAATTTCACATATACTTTTCAACATATAGAAAAAGCAAAATGTGAAGTAACAGTCAGTCAGTGCGGCATTTTATAAATTCCTGGGCTTGGGATAAAACACGCCTGACTCCAGGTGAAAACTCAGATTCTGAATAAAGCTTCACACCTACAATTCAGTGCCTGACCTTTTGTATATTCCTATCACTCTAGTTGTTTGAAGCTTGGAGAGTTAGCCAGACACTGCTCAAAATTTAATTATCTCAGGGCAGTGACTTTAAACAGATTCTAGAATTTGTACCTTAATCAAGACTTGTACATCCCTTCGAACAGAGTTCTCCTTATCCTGCTTCTGCAAAACAAGCCTAACATTCCTATAGTGTAGGAACGTATGAATGAAAAAAATCTTTTTAACACATTTGCCCCTTTCCAAGTACCATGTTGACTTAGATTAAGGGGACAAGTGTAATGTCTCCAGGGTCACTGACAATACCCACGTTGGGTGGGAGGGAAAGCCGTGGGGACGATGAAAGAGGCTGGAAACGGATTATGGACAGATTCAGAGTGGGCAAGGAATTGGCAGATGGAATATAATGTGGAGAATTGTCTGTAAGCAGCAGAGACTTCCAAACCAAATCAGTGACACATTAAAATCCTCGTTCCCTGCCCTGTCCACACTTGCAGACCCTGTGAAGGTGCTGAGCGCAACAGAGTTTGCTATGTCTCATAATATCATATACTTTGCTGTCTGTATTGTGTGAATTATATTTAAAACACAGACATAGACACACATCACCTCTCAGTCTCACTCTGACTGTCATACAGTCTCTCACTCACCCATACTCTCAAACTCTCACATGTACCCACACACACTCTCTCACCCCAAGCTGGTCACTTCACAAAGCCCCCAATTTCAGTCTATCCTGTTGCTCTTTCAAAAGTACAACAGACCACCACAGGTTCCCAAGTTGTAGATAGTTTTTTTTTAATGAAAGCAAAAACAACAAGGTTGAATTTTGGTTTAAAAACGTAACTGGAATACATTGTGTAAAAGCAAAACACTTTCCCTGTGTCCATGAACATCACACTGCAGACGATACACGGAGAATGACAGGGAAAGGGGGAGGGAAAGAAAAGAAACTTTTAAAAAAAACAGAATCACAGCCCAGTGCAGTCTGTGTGTGCTTGAGGGCATAGCAAATACCGCCCTAGGTTTAACCAATGTCACCTTCACACACACAGCTCAGAGGTTAAGGATTCATTACCAGCTAAACCCTACATCTTTCCAACCCAATACTTAAGGGACTTTAAAAAGGCAACTTGTTAAAATATATTTGAACGACTTTTCATTTCTTAAAAAGTGAGAGAGTTCATGTTCCTCGATAAGCAATTGGGTGCCCATCATGAGAAGGTAATGGACCTAATGGGGGGTTGCATTTGGGATGTGGGGTGGGGGGGGAAGGAGCTAAGAAATTCAAGTGCATCTCTTCCCCCCCCACCCCCTTCACTGAGGAAGGTTTGTTCAGAAACTCGAGAAGCAAAAGGTCTTTGTCACCAGTATGGGGAACTCTGAGCGCGTGGAGGTGGGGGGGTGGGGAGGGTGTTGGCAGAACGTGCAAAGACCTCCACTCGGCTGTTGGAGATGAAGAGTACATGGGTTTAGCATGAAAACCATAAACCCATGTGAATGCGTGTGGAATGGGATCACACTGTGCTCGCACGCGCGTACGTGCCTGTGTATGGCTGAGTGTGGGCGCGTGCGTGCGCCTGGCTGAGAGTGTGCACCCGAACGTGTGCCTGACTGAGAGTTTGCGCATGTGTGCCTGACTGAAATTATGCGCGCGCGCAACTGACTGAGAGTATGTGCGCGTGCGTGTGCCTGGCTGAGAGTGTGCGCGCATGCGTGTGCATGACTGAGATTGTGTGCCTGACTGTGTGCATGTGCGCACGCGCGCCTAGCTGAGCGTGCGTGCACCAGACCGAGGGTGTGCGCGCGCATCTGAGTGTGTACGTGTGACGGAGAGAGTTTGAGAGAGAGAGAGACAGACAGTCAGTGTATAAAGCAGCTCCAGTATCATTCGTGCTTCATATCACAGAGATACAGAGCAATCCCAAACAGTACAGAGGGCAGGGGAGAACATGCCTTCTAATTCAGAGATCCCCAATTGAGCAGCAATGCCAGCCTTGCAAAGTGACCATCTCCCACTCGGCCTCGAGCAGGGCATTGGGGCTGTGTATTTGAATGGACAACCCAAACTGTACTACAGCACCCAAGCTCCACACACTCACCCCCACTCAATCACCTCCAGCACTTACAGAACGGCCTGGCCTTTACCATGTGAAAGAAAAGCTGCGGAAAACAGACCCAGGGGAGGGGGGGTTGTGGGCAGGAGGTAGGGGGAGTCAAACAGACGGAGGGGAGCACACCCCACCCACCCTGTTATCTCCATTGCTGTTCCGTTTGAGACGGTAATAATAAAAACAAAGGTAAGATTGAGTCCAGGGGTAAATGGGCCCCCCCACCTTTCACCTTGTTCCCCAAACAACTTGCCCCGCTCTCCCGCCTCCCCCCCCCAACACCCCACACCACCGCCAAACAGACCCTGAGTCAGAGTGCGCCAATGTGAGTCAAAGGGGGGCACTGGGAGGTGAATGCATAGGGAATTGGGGAGTTTGGGGCTAACTGGCAAGCAGCGGAGGAAAGCACAGGGAGTTCCAACAGAGCCTGGCTGCAAGTCTGCGCACGCAAGGACCCACCCCAGGTTGGGGAAGTGATGGTGTATATAAATGACTCAGCTTCTCTGCACTTCCGCCCCACCCCCACCCACCACTCCCCCCCACTACCCCACATCCACACCACCCTCCTCGTCTCTCTCCCCACCCATCCGGGGCCTTAGAAAAATGAAGTAGGAAAGTTCTGTCGGATCGGAAGCCGCTCGTCAGCTCTTGCTGCGCGCCCCCACCCCTCCCCCCCCTCCCCAAATTGGGGGTCACCAGCGAACCGTGCCCACCCAGGGATGGTACTGCCCGACGGCCGGTTGGTTGATGTCGACTCCACGGCATCCCCTCTTCTACCGCGGTTTCCCGGACAACCTGCCATGGGGGGTGGAAGAGACAGAAGAGAAGGAAGGTCAATGGCACCGATCGAGGCCGGCCAGAGGTTCAAGGGAATTTTTAAGAAGAGACAGAAGACAGGTATTGGAACCAAGGAGGAAACGAGCAGACGACTCACCAGCTGTGGGTCAAACGAAAAGATAGTGGTAAATACAAAAAGAAAGCAGGCAATCATGCGAAGAGGAGTCAGAAGATTATTCAGATTGTATGGAAGAGTAAAGACAAAATGGTGTTTAGGACACAAAACAGCGTGTGAGAGAAAGATCGTTAGGAATACAAAAATAGTTAGGGATTTCTGTAGATAACTTTTTTTTTTAAAAAAGTTAATGGAATGAGCTTTGTTCCTTTTCAAAGTGAGTCTGGGGAATTGAGCATTGGAGATAAGGGAGATAGCAGATGGATTTTAGAGGTATTTGCACTGTGGATGATACCTAAAGATAACGAGACCTAGGGGTTCAGGTACATAATTCTTCGAAATCTGTATCGCACATAGGCAGGGTGGTCAAGAAGACATTTGGCACGCTTGCCTTTGTTGCTCAGTCCTTTGGATATAGGAGTTGGGACGTCACGTTGAGGTTGTACAGGACGTTAGTGAGGCCTTTTCTGGAGAACTGTGTCCAGTTCTGGTCGCCCTGTTACAGGAAGGATATTATTAAGCTGGAGGGAGTTCAGAAGAGATTTACCAGGAGGTTGCTGGGAATGGATGGCTTGAGTTATAAGGTTTATGCTGGATAGGCGGAGATGTTTTTCACTGGAGCATAGGAAGTTGAGGGGTGACCTTACAGAGGTTGAGAAAACAATGACAGGCATGGATAGGGTGAATGGTGGGTGCCTTTTCCATAGGGTGGGGGATTTCAAGACTGGGGGCATATTTTTGAGGTGAGAGGAGAAAGTTTAAGAAAAAAACATGTCGGGCAAACTTTTTACAGAGTGGCTCGTGTGTGGAATGAACTTCAGAGTAAGTGGTGGATGCGGGTACAGTTACAATGTGTTAAAGACATTTAGATAAGTACATGAATAAGAAATGTTTGGAACGCTATGAGCTAAGTGCAGGCAGGTGGGACTAGTTAAGTTTGGGATTTCAGTTAGCATGGACTGGTTGGACCGAAGGGTCTATTTCCGTGCACTATGACCCTATGATGCAGATAAAGAGCAAAAAGCAACTATCAATTGGGAAACGAAAGGTAGGTGGAAGGGGAAAGGTAGAACTCCAGGAAATAACAATCACGGTGGAACTGTTACTGTGCAAGTTGTCAGAGCAGGGAAAGTCTGATTCAAAAAGACAGGAAACTAGAGACCAGTTCGTTAAACTTCTGTCACAGGAAATTTTTTAGAAGCTGTGATTACAGACTTTACGACCGGGGACTGAGAGAAATTCAAAGTCATCAGGTGGAATCAACATTTTTGTAAAAGGGAAATCAAGTTTAAAATCAACTTGGCGTTCTTTTAAGTAATATCTTGTGGATAAAGGGAAATTGGCGGACATATTGTCCTGTGATTTCCAGAAGGTATTTAATAGGTGCCACATCGAAGGTCATCATGGAAAATAAAAGCTCACCAATACAGGGGGTAATATATTAGCATCAATAGATGAATGGACAGCTAACAGGAAACAGACAGTGGGCATAATGGGCTCATTAAGAAGACATGGTCTGCCACAGGAATCAGTCCAAACGGGCCTCAACGTTTCACAATTTTTAAAAATGACTCGGAAGGGTACATTTGCTCACGACACAAAAATTAGATGGGAAATTAAGTTGAGGGGGACATGAGGAGGAGAATTGTTGCAATTCTCAACCCTATAGCGCTATGGGCGCTCAGCCATCGAGTACATTTAAAAGCAAGGTCGGTGAGTACGTGAAGGCGTGGTGGAGATTGGCTGGAGTGGGAAGGTTTAATTGGTGACTTTTCTTTGTTCTTTAATGCAATGCAGGCACCGCTGTCTGGGTCAACATTCTCTACTTGCCCCTGACTGCCGTGGATCAGAGTGGCTTGTGAGGCCATTACACACAGCACCGAAAGATCAACCAAGTAGCTGTGGGTCTGGAGTCACACGTCAGATTTCCTTCCAGAAAGGACGTGAATGAACTAGATTGACTTTCACTACAAAATCTATGATTGTGTTGTGACCACTCTTTGCCAAGACTGACTATCAGACCTCGATCTACTCAGTGAATTTAATTTCTACCAGCTATCTCGCTGAGACTGGGACTTCTGGATTACTTGTCCAGAAACGTACACACGACGCCACCACTTCCATCAACCTGGAGGACCTAGGCACATTCAGCTGTTGAGTCCATTCAAGACCAAAACTGATGGATTTCCGGCTACAAAGGGAATTGAGGAATGTGGGGGACTGGGTGGAAACATGCAGATGGAGGTCAGCCATTATTTTAACCAATGGGCAAGCAGGCTTGAGGGGCCGAACTGCCGACTCCAGATCCTATTTGTTAAGTAAATGTTATTCATTAGGTATCCCCAACTTTGGAACACCCTGAGGTAGGGCTTGAAAAGCAGCTTCCTACTTTCTATTCACAGCGTGGTGCTCCCTCCTCCTGTCTGATACTCACTGTAACTTAGACTCAAGCGCGTTCAGTGTCTGCCGGTCAACGTAATGAGAGAAAAGCGCCAGGAGATTTGTGGGCATGAACGACGGTTTGGCCAACGATGCCGGTGGGACCTTCAGCAATACCCGGATCACGGCGAACACCAGCTCTGTCCTGGACAGGAAGGAGAGAAGGGAGTGCAATCAGACTTCACAAAGGCCAGGGACAAACAGGTTACAAAGTCCATCACCGAACTCCCAATTAAGCCCTTTCAAACACGGCCGCGCCCGGCTCAGTCACCTCACAGTCAGCACCACCTTTTCTGTATGGCTAATCTCTCCTTCATGTGGGACACTCCATAATAATCCATTCCTGGTTTGATCACCCTGCCGCCACATCTCCACTGTGATAACTGTAACGCGTTTACTTCCACCACAGCCATCTATCTCGCAATGCCGCGTGTCATCATACTGAGTGCCTTCAATCCTGCCTTGTTAACTCGATTCTCGAATCTGACCCTCCTTGATTCTAGGACTCGTGCCTGCTGTTTTCCAAGTTTCCGTTACAAGCTTTCCCATTTCCTAGAAGCAGCGTTGTTTATTCTCCCCTCCCGTCCCGTGGCATGGGCTTAAGAGTTGGGACTCGTCGCAAGGGAGGTGGGGGGAGGATGGGGTTGAGCTCACCCCTGGGTTAGATATGGCACGCCGAGGTGGGAGCACAGTCTGGCTCCATCTTGGACGGGCTCAGGCAATGGGATCAAACAAGCGGCTGGGGAATGAAAACTGACGAACCAACGCGGATATCAAAGCGGCCGGACGAAACTCACCACCGGTTGTCCTGCATGAGTTCGCTGGAAGCCTCCGAGCTCTGCAACCTCTCTCCTTGGCTCAGGATCATGTAGAACAACGTCAGGCCGAACTGGTGAAACATTTCGCAATTAATCATTCAGACAGAAAACAGAGGCAGGATTGCGTCCAAGCAGTCACGTTTAGACGCTCAGTGTGTCTCAAAACGCGATGGCCTCAAGGTATTGTCGCTGGACTGTTAACCCAGTGACCCAGATCACGAGCTGAGGATCTGGGTTTGAATCTCGCGACAGCAGACTGTGCAATTTAAATTCAATAAAAAACAAAAACGTGGAATTAAGAAGCTAATGATGACCACCAGTCCGTTGTTGATTATTAGAAAAATCCATCTGGCCCTTTAGCTGCCACCTCGACCTGGTCTGGCCTACATGTGACCCCAGACCCACAACAATGTGGTGGGCTCTTAACTGCCCTCTGGGACAATTAGATTGGGGCAATAATCGCTGGCCCAGCTGGCCAACGAAATCCTTCAGCACTATTACTGCCATAACAGACTGCCTTGTACATAGCAAGGAAGTGAAGGCAGCAACATGATTGGGACCATTAACCTGCTTACAGGGAGACTGAGTGACCAACACGGGCCACGACACTACAATAACTCTGCTACACTTCTCCCAAAGAGTGGGCTAGTTCCATCCCTCTGACACAGCAGATCATTGCTTGGGTTAATGCCCCTTCAGAAAGAGAATCTGTCAATTAGCGCACTGCTATCACAGTCCTGTCCCTCCAGAAAGAGAGCGCTCCATTTGGTATTGACCCCCTGGTGGGGCAGATCCTTTCTCAAGTATTGACCTTCCTATCTCTGTAACCTCCTCCAGCCCCTACATCTCCCTATGTCACCTCCTCCCCAGCCCCTACACCCCCTCCCTATCTCTGTAACCTCCTCCAGCCCCGACATCTCCCTCTGTCACCTCCTCCCCAGCCCCTACACCCCCTCCCTATCTCTGTAACCTCCTCCAGCCCCTACACCCCCTCCCTATCTCTGTAACCCCCTCCAGCCCCTACACCCTCTCCCTATCTCTGGAACCTCCTCCAGCCCCTACGTCCCTCCCTTACATCCTCCAGCCTGTCACCTCCTACCTGTCTTCCCTTACTGTGTCAGTTTACCCCAAACTCCCTCTCCCGTCTCCCTCCTCCCTGACCATTCCCACATTTCCCAGCCGGTTCTCCCCAGGGCCGACAGCACCCCCGCCACCCACTAGTCCGCGCCGTTACCTTGTTCTGCAGGATGTTCGGGAAGTGGCTCCCAGGTTGGCCAGATGGACCGGATCCAGTCAGCTGCTGTAGGAGCTCGGTGAGGGCAGTGGACGGGAGGCGACTGATCAGGATGGAGCAGGCCTCAGTCAGACAGGGTAGCACCTGGAGACAAGGCAAGGCAGCACCTTGATAGGGCACAGGCAGGCAGCACAAACTCTCCCTCAGGCCCGCACGTGGCCAAGATCCCGCTGCCATCACTAGTCCCAACCAGACTTCAGGGCATCCAGCACGGAATCAACTGGAGCCTTCTTTGTTTCAAACAGAACACGGCCCGGGATGGGATGGCCTACTGTGCTCAGAAACTGACCGTGAACTTGAAACGAGGGTTTTGCAATGGAAGATATGGCCCATTCCATCCTGTCCCCATGCAATGTTATCACGATTATCATCCAACTCCATGCTCTGTTCCCACTTTCTCTCCAAACCCTTCGATCCCTTTAGGCTCAAGCCAGATAGCGATCTCCTTCGTGAAACCAGTCAACCATTTCCTGGCCTCAACTGCTCTCTGTAGCAGAGAATTGCCACAGAATTGCTATTGAAGACGTCTTTCCTCATCTCGGTCCTAAATGGCCAACCCCGTGCCCTCTAACTGTGACCCCTGGTACCGGATCCCCAGGACAAACCCAGCTGCATTGACCCTATGAGACTCACCCACACCCCCACTTCTTGTTTTTTCATAGAATCCCTACAGTGTGGAAACAGACCCTTCAGCCCAACAAATCCACACCGACCCACAGAGCATCCCACCCGGGCCCATTTCCCTATAACCCACCTAAGCTGCACATCCCTGGGCACTATGGGACAATTTAGCACGGCCAACCCACCCTAACCTGCACATCCCTGGGCACTACGGGACAATTTAGCACGGCCAATCCACCCTAACCTTTGGGCTGTGAGACGAAACCCACGCAGACACGGGGAGAATATGCAAACACCACACAGACAGTTGCCAGAGGGTGGGATCGAACCCGGGCCCCTGGCGCTGCGAGGTAGCAGGGCTAACCGCTGAGCCACCAACTTCTAAACTCCAGTGTATATGCGTAACGTCTCACCCAGAGTAACGCTCCTCACTACCCTCAGGCTACAGGATGACCCTTGACCCCTCACAACTCACCGCTCCCCTCCCCCTCCCGTTCCCCCAAAACCAGAACAGCTGGTTTTCTGATGAAGGGTCTAGGCCCGAAATGTCAGCCTTCCTGCTCCTCTGATGCTGCTTGGCCTGCTGTGTTCATCCAGCTCTACACCTTGTTATCTCAGAGCTGGTTGTTTGGCTGTCGGATGCTACGCGGTATTTCTCCTCACCTTTGGACCCCCTCCCTCAGCCAACACCGTCCAGCGTGCGGTCACTCACCTCGTCCTGGCTGTCCTTCTTGACCAGGTACGGGAGGTTTCGAGCGGTAGCCAACAGCACGTTGGCAGCCTGCTCCGTGCTGAGGAACAGCAGGACCTTGGCAGCCAGTCGTTTGCCCTTGCGGATGCACATGACCTGCACAAAGTGGTCGTCGCTGACTCTGCGGGATTGTGGGGAGGGGGGTGGGGGCAGAGGAGGCTGTTACAGCGGGACGGGAATCGACACCCTCCCCCGGTCGCCAACCCCCACCCCGTTTCCTCTGACCCTTAACCCATTCTGCCACCCCACCCCCCCACCCCCGCCCGCCCAACTTCACTGAACCCACCTTGCTCCCCCGCTCAGCAGCGTGCGCGCACACACACACACACACCCACGCGACGTTGGACCCACCCACCTCTCGGTGCTGGGAGCCTGCTTGCCTCGCAGGTTCTCGTACATCTGTGCAATCTTGGCCTTGCGGTGTTCCAGCACGGCCGGCCGCTCCTCCTCAGTCGCTTGCAGGAACTTCTTCTCCAAGTCCTGCACCTCCAGCACCAAGCTGTACGTCTGAAGAGAGAGGGAGCAAGTTGCACGGGGCAGCCGGTGGTCGGGGGGGGAGGAAAAGAGAGAGAGGGAGAGAGAGACAAAAGGAGGTCACGGCACAGCGGACAGCAAGACCCACGCCAGGAAGGATTAACGGTGCCATGTGACACCCCGTGCAGCTTGGGAGGGGGGGACGGTGAATGTTGGAGGAGGAATAGTGGAGCAGGCGGCGAATAAAAAGTCCCTAACACACAAGGCATTTGACGGGTTGATTTACCAGGAGAGGGGGTTCAGTGAGTGACACTGTGAGGATGCTGGATTCATCCATCAGCAGAGATGGATCAGTAACATCTCTCCCTTCGCGCCGAGTGACAGGGAGGGAGCATCATTTACATTGGTAAAGATATTGTTAGTTATGTGGGCAGATCATGCGGGGGAAGGGAGTGAAAGACGTAGTGCGAGGGGTAAACATTGACTTCGGAGTGCATGACATCTGATGCCAGTCCCAAAGGTCCACTCAAAAGGGATGCCCACTGGGATATTGGGATGGAGAGCACTTACCCGCTCAATGGTGAAGAGTGTCTGCCGCCTCTTGTCCCTCACTTGCTTCTCTTTTGTCTCCTGAAGCAGAGGGAGATATTGAGACAGGGAGAAGGGCAGAGGGTCAGAGAAATGAAACGCACCGATTTCCGAACCTCTCTGCTCTTGGAGAGAGCAGCCCCAGCCGTGCTCAGTCATGGACGCTAGCATTAAGGCAAGCAAGAGCTCGGGCTACAATGCTGAAATCAGTACGAGTGAGGTACAACTGCAAACCTCGCTCCGTCCTCCAGCCCACACACTAGCCCCCTACTCCAATCCAATGGCTGTCCGAGGAAAGTCTCCAAATGGACCTGCTCCTCTCAGAATCCACAGCACAGGAAAGTTGCCAAGGGAGCTGCAAATCCTCAATACCACCCTCTCTCGCCCTGCTTCAAGGCGAGATCTTCAGCTAAACCCATGCTCCCAATCCCTCCCTCAGTGTCACTGCAAGCTGAGTGGTCTCTGAAAAACCTGCGACCCTTGGGACGATGCAATGGAGCACTCCAAATAGGCCTGCGACCATCCATATCTGAACACTCATTCCCTCTCCTTCATGTGGTGTATTTCTGAAGGAGATTCCCAGGTAAACATCGACACACCCACCACCAACACCCTCAAGCAGGGTCACTGCAGGGAGGTCTGCAGATAAGTCGCGGCCCGCACCCCACCCCCACCGTCCTTAGACCCTGTTTACGAATCCAATGCTTCAGCAGAATGCAAACATGCATCTTTGAGCCACTGGATAATCTTATGTACCGTCACCCAAGAAACATTGCTCTTGATGTTTGGGTCGGTGTCACTCACAGACAGGGTCGTCTGCTTCATAGGAAGTCGAGTGAAGGAAGAGAATGATCCACAGAATCACGGACGGCGCAGCGTGGAACCGTGGGCATTAAGGGAATGGTTCCATTCCTTGGAATTAGGTATGGAGGAACGAAGATTCAAAAGGAATGGAGAAGAATAACTCAAGACAACTTACATCATCGTCAGTGCGCGTTGTCACCACAGCATCAATCATCTTGCGAGGATTGTTCACGCTGGACACGGTGAGTTTACCCAAGGAGCCCTCAAACTGCACTGTAACCAATAAAACAGCCATCAGCAGCGGTAGCTCTCAGGGACTCGGACGCATGTGGCACTGACTGGGCAAGCATTTCGGTGACCAGCCCGCACTGCCCTCGAGGAGCTGGTAGACAAACCACCATCCCCAGCTGCAACAGTCCCTTTGCCCCATGGCAAGCCACAATACATTGGGGAAGGATTTTAGGATTTGGACCTTGGGGCAGTGAAGGAACAGCAGCGATACGGGATCCTCTCAGGATGGTGTGCAGCCTCTCGGAGGGGAACTTAAAGGCGGCTGTGTTCCAGGCATTGACTGTCCTTCACAGACACGTCCCTATTGACTCCATCAGGCAGCTGTAGGTTTTGTGAATTCAAACTCTCTTATGGCAAACCTATTGTTCCATACAAATACACTTCCCTGCAGGACCCTCTCCCTATCCAGAAGCCAATTCCATCAAGGAACAACCCTTACACCCCTCCTTAGCTCTGTAACCCCTTCCAGCCACTACACACCTTCCATATCTCTGTAACCTCCTCCAGCCCTTACACCCCTCCTTATGTCTGTAACTGCCTCCAGCCCCTACACCCATCCCTATCTCTGTCACCTCCTCCAGCCCCTACACCACCTCCCTATCTCTGTCACCTCCTCCAGCCCCTACACCTCCTCCGGCCCTACCTGTGTCCCTAGTTCTAATTGCTCCATCTTTAGCGCCCACTCCTCTGGCTGCCTGGTTCCGAACTTTTTTGAACCCCCCCCTTGTTAAACGTGACCAGCCTCCCTCTCTATCACTGAAAGGCGCTATGGAAATCCGAAGCATTTAGACCAAACTTGGGGGTCGCCAGTCCCATCATCTCCTGTGACTGGTGACAGAACTATTTGCTGGCAAGCACTCTGGTCAGGTCTTGGTGGGGAGTTGGACAAAGCTGGGGAGGGGTCTCCATTCAGGGCGCTTTCGGAGAGCGAGATGCTGCAGCACGGCGCAGTTGCGAAAGACGGAGTGCAGGAGGCGCCCTGTGGCGTCCCATTTCCCCTGGCTGACCCGTGACCCGAACTGGAATGCGGGTAAACCACCCAGTCGGATTACCTGGCCGGTAGATGTGCTCCAGCTTGGCCACCTGCGGCGTGATCAGCTTCATGCGCTCCTTCTTGGGGCCCTCGTTATTCAGGTCCAGAGCAGACTGCTTCTTCTCCAGCCTCTCAAAGTAGTTCTACAACGGGAGAGAGCAACAGGTTGAGCGCAAGGCACTGGATTCAAGTCACAGCTGGTGATAAATACAAACCTGGAATACAACGTGTGTCTCAGTCACAGCAATCAGAAACCGATCGGTTAAAACAGGAGCAACATAGGAAGAGCTGTAGGCCATTCAACCCTTCAAGCCTGCTCCACCATTCAATACAATCATGGCTGATCCACGGCCTAACTCCATATGCCTGTCTTGGGCCCATATCCCTTGATACCCTTGCCTAATAAAATGTATGTGTCTCAGATTTAAGTTTAGCAGAATTAGCATTGGCTGCTGTTCTGAAGGAGAGTTCCAAAGCTCCACTCGCCTTTCTGTGTCTAAGTGCCTTCTCTCTTCTAAACAGCCCTGATCTAACTCTTAGACGATACCGCCTACATCTACAATCTTCAACCAGCGGGAATAGCTTCTCTTTATTCACCCTGTCTTTCCTCGTTTAGACACTGGAAACAGTTTATCTTATCCACCCTGTCTTTCCCTGTTTATATCCTGAAGGCCTTGCTTAGATCATCCCTTAACCTTCTAAATTCTAGACAGCCAAGGCCTCATCGCTCCTCACAATTTAACCACTTGAAGTCCAGCTATCATCCAGGGTCAAAACATCCCTCCTGTGATTAACAAGATACCGCGGATGCTGGAAAGCTGAAACACACACACACACACACAAAATGCTGGAGAAACTGTGGGTTCAGCAGCCTCAGCGCTGAGCTTCTCCAGCACTTCCTGCATGTTTCAGAAACTGTTACCGATGGTCTCAAAAAGCCATGTGATTCACTCACTCAGACCCAGAGTCAAGTGCTTCTAACTGCCCTCTGAAATGGCAGAGAAGTCACTCAACCCAAGGGAGATTCAGGGATGGGGCAACAGCAACTAGCCGTAGAGCAGAGCAAGGTCCACCTCCCAAAAGAGCCAATTTAATAAAGTTCATCACTCACTAAATCAGCTGGAGTACTGCAGACAATTCTGAGTGCCACAAGGGGAAAGATGTAGAGGCTGCAGAAAAAGTTTGCCCTGATGTTATGAGGGATGTTCGACTCAGGGATAGAGAGAGATCAGGGCTGTACTCCTGGGAGTGGAGATGGCGAAGAGGTGACTGAAATCAGGTTTTCCAATTGGCGGGAAGTCTTAATAGAGCAGAGAGGGAGAAGGGGATCAAAAACTCGCAACCGCAGAATCAAAATCATTGGGAGAAATCTCATTTCACAGTTCACGGGACTTCCGCAGCTGATCCTATTGTTCCACAAGGAATGTGGAACACGAGGATGAATAACTGGGGCGGCACGGTGGTTAACACTGCTGCCTCACAGCGCCAGGGACCCAGGTTCGATTCCAGCCTCCGGCGGCTGTATGGAGTTTGCACATTCTCCCCGCGTCTGCATGGGTTTCCTCCAGGTGCTCCGGTTTCCTCGCACAGTCCAAAGATGTGCCGGTTAGGGTGGATTGGTCGTGCTAAATTGTCCGTAGTGTTCAGGGGAGTGTAGATTAGGTGGGTTATACGGGGATGGGTCTGGGTGGGATGCTCTGTGGATCGGTGTGGACTTGTTGGGCCGAAGGGCCTGTTTCCACACTGTAGGGATTCTATGAAATGCTCTATTTTTCTATGAAAAAACTTCCAAGGTTAAGGGTGAAATGGGATGTGGGATGAAGTAAAATGCTCTTTGAAGCAGCCCGCCTCTGCAAGCTTACTGATCAAACCTAGATTATTAACATACACAACAAACCCAGCAGTGTGCCCCTGAACACACTCTTCTTTGTCACAAAAGCCACTTCAACCTGTTGATCTCTCAGAGGTCGCAGCTCAACTTGTCGTGAGCACAGTTCTGGCCTCATTTACCAAGAATCGCAACGAATGAGAACAGGACAGAAAGAGGCGATTTGGTCTAACCGGTCTTTTAGAATGATCTTCATCAGCCTCTTCCATCACTTCATCTCACCCCCTCAACATGTAATGATTATTACTTTCTGCCTCATGTGCTCATTCGGATTTTGCTCAAACACAGCTGCATTATTTGCCTCAACCACTCTCCCTGCAGTCACAAGTTCCACACTCTCGAGGTGAAGCTGTTTCTCCTCATTTCAGTGCTGGATTTATTCATCATTATCTTATATATTTATGGACTGCAGTGTGGTCTCCCCACAACTCCTTCCTCCTCCTAACCGTGATGTTCCTTAAGAAGCTAATGTGGCACTGAGCTGGGATTCAAACCTGCTCACTGTGTGTCGGTGCATCCGAAAATGCCAATGGCAGCCCGAGGCCTCCGTACCTGATAGTAGTAATCGTCCAGGTAGGGGTCAGCGCTCTGTAGCTGCATCATTTGGATCTTGCTGACCCATTCCTTCTCCCGCTGGGTCATCAGGTTGCTATAGGGGTCTTTCTTCGTCTGCTCGTGATAGCTGCCCCTGCTGTGCCTGTCTCCTCCAGAGCCATTCTGACCTCGGTGTTGACTGAGAGAGAGAGAGAGAGGGGAGCAGAAAGGAAGAGAGAAGGATACTGAGAAAAACAATAAGCTGTAAAGAAAGTGCGAGGCAGAGAGAGACCAAAATCTCTTTGCGGGTGGTGAAATTGACATATGGGACAACACTACAGCTGCGCTATTCACTAAATCGACTTTACTTTCTGTTCTGTGGTCCCATGTTTCCTTGGTGTTTGGGACCAGGTACTGAAATGACCACCCCACTGCTCCAGGCCAGAAGGTCTCACTACACCTGCCGTGCTTTCTCAAGGGGCAGCAAATCCTAAAGAAGCAATCCAGCAACGTTCGCATTTGAACTGATCGGTAATAATGTTTCAGGAAGATGGATTTATCAGATTACTTGCAGAGTGCAAAATTCTCCATTACTTGGAAGTGAGGAATGTACTGGGGCATAGCAAGTCATTCAAAATTGGGAGCAGTGAGGGGCCTTGCCTTAAAGTCTCAATGATAGGACATTATCCTCAAGGGTCTGTTACAGGTTCATGGTCCAAGGTGAGGGTGAGATCCACAGATGGAGTAGTGCATTAAACACTCCCAAGGCAGGTGGAGCATGGGGTTAGATAGAGAGCCAAGTTTCCTCTACACTGTGTGAGCAAACACTCCCAAGGCAGGGGCAGTATGGGATTAGATATAGGGTCATTTTTCGTCTACACTACTCTTCAATGGGCGTTCACACAAATCTCAGTGAAACCATCTTACGTCATTCAATGCAACATTTCTGTTTTCTGATCAGTACAAACACGCTCAGCCCTTCGGTCTGTGGCTGGATTGGATCAAACATGCCAGACAGAGAGGGGATAGTTTCTGACCTAATCATTCCTTGCTTTTCTCCCTGTCGTCACTTCTGTTTCAGGCTGGGCATCCCGGATCCAGAATTCTTAAACCCATGGGGTCTAGTTTCCAATCCTCCCCCCAAATGGAAAACAAGTTCTCATTATTTAATTTATCAAAATCCATTTTCAATGCATCAACCAAATGCATCAGCCAAGGAAAACAGACCTAATTTTGCATTAGGAAACAAAACAGAAATTGCTGGAGAAGTTCAGCAGGTCTGGCAGCATCTGTGAAGGTAAAAAACAGAGTTAACGTTTTGCGTTCGGTGACCCTTCCTCAGAACCGGACCCAAAATGTTAACTCTTTTTTTCCTTCACAGATGCCGCCAGACCTGCTGAGCTTTTTCCAGCAATTTCTGTTTTGTTTCCTGATTTACAGCATCCGCAGTTCTTTTGTTTTCTAATTTTCCATTATCTCCGCATGAACTGAAATCCTTCAACCATTGTGGTTGATCCTCCTCACAGCCTAGCCGAGCCCTTGAAATCCCACCCAGATTCTGGCGCCGAGAAATGCACGCTATCAGAGAAGGTGAAACCCCTCCCCAAGTGGTGGTGTTCCAGCAAATTCCTACCTCACCTTTGCTGAGGTCTGGAACTGGACACTTGGGGAAGAATTACAGAATTCCATACAATGTGGAAACAGGCCATTCGGCCAACCAAGTTGGCCCAAAGGTTACCTGGAGGAACACAGCAGGCCAGGCAGCATCAGAGGAACAGGAAAGCTGACGTCTTGGGATGGGACCCTTCTTTTTTTCTGCTCCTCTGATGCTGCCTGGCCTGCTGTATTCCTCCAGCCCCACACTGTGTTATCTCTGACCGTCCAAATTCTATCCCAATCAGACCCACCCCTATCAGATCCCAGTGTTTCCAGCGGTTAATCCATCTAGTCTGCACATCCCTAGAGACTACGGGCAATTTAGCACAGCCAACCCACCTAACCTTTCAGAGATAGTAAGAACTGCCGATGCTGGAGTCACAGATAATGCAGTGTGGGGCTGGAGGAACACAGCAGGCCAGGCAGCATCAGAGGAGCATCAAAGAAGGGTCCCATCCCAAAACGTCAGCTTTCCTGTTCCTCTGATGCTGCCTGGCCTGCTGTGTTCCCCCAGGTAACTTTTGGGCTGTGGGAGGAAACCAGAGCACCCGGAGGAAACCCACAGGGAGAATGTGCAAACCCCACACTGGAATCGAACCCAGGTCCCTAGCACCCTGAAGCAGCATCGCTACCCGCTGAGCCACCATGCCGCCCTCTTACTGCCGGGAGTCACTTACTTCCTGGAGTTCTGCAGCTGGAGGCGTTGATTGAGGAGCCGCCGGTGCTGGGGGTGGAGGTGGGTGGTGTCCGCCCGGGAAGACCTGGAAACGCCAGAAAGTCGAGGAAACGGTCACTCGCGAACACATCCGAACAGCGTGCGCTGAGACAGGGCCTTTCACACAGCAAAACCGAGATATTTCACAAGTAGCAAAAGACGTCAAACTGGGAGAGAACTTCTGTGAAGGTTCCCTCCACTTCATAATGTGCCAAATCCACAGAAGGAAACACGTTTTAAATTTGGTCACTTATGTACAAGGCAGGCAAGTGAATGCAGCAAGTTCCCATAAACAGTGAAATGAGGTTTTAACCCGCAAGATTGGCGGGGAACAAATACTAATGAGGATGCCTCGGCGACTCTCCTTTATTGCTTCCGAGAGAGGCTGTGGGATTTTTTTTTTTACCTGACAGGATACACACCTTGGAAGGTGCATGGAATTATGTCCACAGATTCACCTGGAATGCACCTTTCTCGCTTGTTCAGGGCACGGTGAAGATCACTCGTTGGGACATGTATTGCCCAAAATTAACTGCCCTCAAGAAGGTTTTGGTGAGCTGTCTTCTTGAACAGCTGCAGGGGAGACGGTGGTATCATGGTGTTATTGCAGGACTAGTCACCCTAAGACCCAAAGGTAATGCTCTGGGAACGAGAGTTCGAATCGCACCACCGCAGACTGGAATTCAATCCCATCGTCGACAGTTAGAGTTAAAAAAAAACCCATCTGGTTCACTGATGTCCTTTAGGGAAGGAAACTGCCATCCATACCTGGTGTGGCCTAAAATGACTCCAGACCCACAACAATATGCTCTCTGGACAACTCGGGATTGGTAATAAATGCCAATCCAGCCAGTGATGCTCACATTCCCATGAATGAATAAAAAAGTGGCAAAAACAAATTGCCTGTCCCTAGTTACCCCTTGAGAAGGTGGCGGTGAACTGCCTTTTGGAGCTGCTGCTATCCATGCACTGTTGTAAACTGTCTGGGATGGAGCTCCAGGGCTTTGAACCAGCAACACTGAAGTGACATCGATGTATTTCCAACTCAGGATGTTGAGCAACTTGAAGGGGGAACGTGCAGATTGTGTGTCCCCAAGTATTTTCTGCCCTCGTCCTTCTTGATGGAAAGTCCAGCAGAGACAAGTTAATATCCGAGGCACTCACCATCCTGACTTGAAAAGATATGGCCATACCCTCAGTGTTGGTGGGTGAAAATCTTGGAACTCTCTCAAAAATGCTTGATTCTTTCTTCAACCTCTTTAGTTCACAACATAGATGGTGGGGGAAATTTCTCTCTCTCACTATCAAGTATTGCATTCTGAAATATTCCCTTAAATGCCTGTCACCAAGTCTTTATCGATCTATCCCTTAACCTAGTTTGCCAGCACATCTTAGTTAGCTCTGCCCTCACGGTCTTTATGTCTGGAATATTAGAATTGGATCCCCTCTTCCCCCTTCCAAACTGAATGGAAAATTCAATCCTTTTATGCGTGATGATACAGAGGGGTGAATCCAAATAAGTTAAGTAATAGTCCCGTGGCATTGTACACTATCACATTTAGTAAAGACTAGCTTTTCCTGCACTCCAGAACGTGCTGCTTTGAGAAACTATCCTGGAAACATTTATGAACTTCTTACCTGGCTACATTTATCCGTCTCACTTTTCCAGTCTACATGCAGGTGGAACGTTCTTGTGATGGTTGCTTTGTAACAAGGTGCCACTAGTTCTTCCTACATACTCCATCCTACCGTGGAGTCACTGCTCAAGGGCCTGTACACCACTCCCACAAGTGTTGCTTGCCTTAATTATTTGTGATCTCCACCCAAACTGCTACCACATTCTGGTTCTCTGACCATGGCCCATCACTCCCAATTCTGCTCATCCCATCATAAGTAACGGAGCCACCCATTTACGCTTTCCTCACTTTCTGTCCTTCGTCAATGCTATATTCTTTTCAACACTCAGTTCTCAAACTGTCCTCTTTCAGCCAAGTCTCTGTGAAGGCTGCTAGAGGGCGCTGACGTGTTCTATCTGTTTTGTTTGGGCTGTTATGTGCCTCCAGCCCCAGAAACAGTCTGTGTCAATATGCAGCAAGACCTGGATGGATCCAGGCTCGTGCTGGGAAGCAGCAAGGTGCATTTGCACAACAGAAGCGTTGGGCCACACTAGCACCAAGAACAGAGGTGACCGTCTTCTCTGGAAATTTCTGGGCTTTACAATTGCTGAATCTCCCGCTGACGCTGTAGCAGTAAGGCTCTGAGAAGTGGCGGCCTGGGGCTAAGTGCTAAAGGAGTTGAACGTGCAGTCTCGAGAGGGAAGACTGCTACTTATGGAGCATTCACTGACAAAACAGAACATGATACCAAACCAAAGTGTTTGTCCAAAAACGTTGTGACTGAGAGGGGGGGCGGGGGGTGGGGGGGGGGGGGGGGGGGAGGGGGGGAGGGGGGGGGGGGGGCGCACGCGAGGGGGTGGAGAGAGAGAGAGAGAGCGAGAAAGGGAGTGATAGAAAGACAGAGCGCGCATGGGACAGCGCAAGAGATGGCAGGGAATTCCAGAGTTGAAGGCTGAGGTAGCGCTCGAAGCTGCAATTGCCAACAGTGCAGCAATTAACATGGGGAAACGTACAGGGGCCCACAACTGGAGGAGTGCAGAACAAAAGGAAAAGAGGATGGTCTGAGCTGGGCAATGAGAGGAAACAAGAGCTGAAGCACTAACCCGAGCTACAATCTGTACAGTTAGTGAGCACTGACGAGGGAGGTGGTGTGACAGGTGAAAGGGGACAGAGTTCAGAAACAGGAGGCAGCATCTTGAAATGAGGTGATGCAGAGTAAGAAACGGGAAGCTGAGTGGCAGAGGATTCACACTGGATATAGTGATTGACGGATTGTCTTTAAATATTCCTCCACAACTGGGCACCGAGTGAATGGGGTGCAAACCAACGTCCTCAGGTGACAGTCACTGAAAGAGCCCACCTCCACCCCCCAAAGCCCACGGTACCTGATGTTCTGCAGGTGTCCAGTTGCTGCCGGGCTGAAGTATGGCTGGAAACCAGTGATGGGCGGCATCATCTGTCCCATCCTGCTTTGCAGCAGGTTGGTGTTCATTGCCGTCAGCGGGCTCCCCACTAACCCTGGGACTCGGGCAAAGTGGCTGGGTGACATCCTCCCCGTCTGCTGTTGTGGGGGTAAACAAGGCACAAAGTCAAACACAACAGGCACCGAGGGTCAGGTCTGCACCAGGAAGGGGAGCAAGAAGACACAAGGTCGGACATTAACCCTGAGAATCACACCTGCCTTGGGGGGGGTGGGGGGCACAAGGTCAGAGGCACAAGATTTCATGTAGACACAAGCACCAACCCACTTTCAATGCTCCCATTTCCCTCTGGTGTGCCCAAGAGTTACGTCAGTTTGAGGGTGACCAGGGTCAACGAGGTCTAAGACACATACACTTACGACTGTCAACAGCGTCAGAGTTCAGGGAGGACAGCGTACCAGTTTTACAAACCCACTAAATCACCCTCACTTCACCACAGGCCCCAAGGTGGGCAGAACTCCTCAACACGGTCCCAATCAAACACTCCCAGGATAGGGACAGCAGACGGTCAGATAGAGTAAAGACCCCTTTATACAGTCTCTGTCACAGCACTTGGACGACAGACTAATTCTAGTACTTTTAGAAGTTTGATGGTGGGTTAAATATTGGGTACACTGAATTGTCCAGCTGGCACGTGCTTGAAGACAGCGATGGTAGAACTCCAAGGCCAGGCAAGCAAGGTGTACTCGCAGCATCCAAAAACAGAAGCCACAAATGAGCAAGCTCGTATTTTCGTATCGTTGATAAATTACATGTTTTGGTCAAAACGTTGTCGCCTTGAACTCATCAGAACAGCTCACAACAAACACGACGGGAAGGCAAAACTCATACTGTAGGAGAGTAGAGTGCGAACAGGTTGGCAAATAGACTGATTGGTGGAGTGGTTCCCACAGAGGATGCACCAGCTAATGATGACTGTTAATTAACTGTCAAGGTTTGTTTAAATTTTGAACAAGGCAAAAGAAGTTTGGAGAAAGTTTTTTTTTTTTTTAAAAACTTAGTTTGGTTTTGCTAGCAACCATCAGTTCTGAGGAAGGGTCATCAGATCCGAACCGTTAACTCTGATTTCCCTCCAGAGATGCAGCCAGACCTGCTGAGCTTTTCCAGCAGATTCTATTTTTGTTGCTAATTTCCAGCATCTGCAATTCTTTCAGTTTTTATTTCAGTCAGAGAATTATAGAGATGCACAGCATGGAAACAGACCCTTCGGTCCAACATGTCCATGCCGACCAGATATCCTAACTAAATCTAGTCCCATTTGCCAGCATTTAGCCCATATCCCTCTCAGCCCTCCCTATTCATATTCCCATTCAGACATCTTTTAAATATTGTATTATTGTACCAGCCTCCACCACTTCCCCAGCAGCTCGTTCCATACACGGACCACCCTCTGTGTGAAAAAGCTGCCCCTTAGATCCCTTTTAAATCTTTTCCCTCTCACCTTAAACCCATGCCCTGTTGTTTTGGATTCCCCCACCCCAGTGAAGACCTTGTCTATTTGACCTGTCCATGACCATCATGATTTTATAAGTCTCTATAAGGTCAGCCCTCAGTCTCCGACACTCCATGGAAAATAGCTCCAGCCTATTCAGCCTCTCCCTATAGCTCAAACCCTCCAACCCTTGCAACATCCTTGTAAATCTTTTCTAAATCTTTCAAGTTTCACAACATCCTTCTTATAGCAGGAGACCAAAATTGCACGCAGTATTCCAACAGTGGCTGAACCAATGTCCTGTACAGCCGCAACATGACCTCTCAACTCCTATTACTCAATGCACTGGCCAATAAAGGCAAGCATACCAAACGTCTTCTGCACTATCCTATCTACCTGCGACTCCACTTTCCAGAAGCTATGAACCTGCACTCCAAGATCTCTTCCTTTGGCAACACTCCCCAGGACCTTACCATTAAGTGTCTAAGTCCTGCCCTGATTCGCCTTTCCAAAATGCAGCACCTCACATTTATCTAAATTAAACTCCATCTGCCACTCCTCGGCCCACTGGCCCATCTGATCCAGGTCCCATTGTACTCTGAGGTGACATTCTTCACTGTCCACTACATCGCCAATTTTGGTGCCACCTGCAAGCTTGTTAACCATATCTCCTATCTTTTAAATGGAACAAGAACAGGCTACTTTGCCCTTTGAGACAGTGCCGCCATTTAATAAGATCGTGACTGATCTGATTTTAACCCCAGCTCTGCATTCCCGCACATTCCCCAATGAACTTTCATTCCGTTGGTCATTAAAAAAATCTATCTGTGCCTGAAAAATATTTATAGATTCTGCATCCACTGCCTTTCAAGGAAGCTTCACAAAATTCCCTCCATCTGCAAATGGTCCCATCAGATTAGGCAATAGCAAATGTGAGACCTCTGTTCAAGAAAGGATGGAGATCCAAAGAAGGAAATTATACATTGTCATCGATTCTAGTGTTTTCAGAACAATCCAAACTCTTACTAATTTTTTTTTATGTATCCTTAAAGTCAAACAGATTGACCAATCGAATTGCATCTAGAACAAAACACTCAACTTTAAAATAAGGAAAAGTTGGGTCGAGACTGAATTTTCTGAATATATTTTGAGGGATGTTTCATCAGGTCCATAACACTGTACAGGTTGGGCCTGCATCCATTGCCGTTTAGAAGACTGAACATTGATCTTCTTCAGATGTACAAGATTCTGAGGGAACTAGACAGAATAGACGCTTGTGGGGGTGACTAGAACTGGGGGGAGAGGCGGGGGGGCACAGTTTAAAAAAAATCAGGGGTCTCGCATTGAAGATGGAAATGGCAAAAACTTGTTCATCTCAAATGGTGATGAATCTTGGGAACTTCAGAAAGTAGTGGAGGTAGGGACATTAATATTATTGAGGCACAGGTACATAGAGTCTTAATACTCGGTCAAATGGTACCTTCAACAGCAGTCACTCTCTGTTTCATGTACATATCCAGAAATTATGATGCTCATCTCTTGGGACATGGTCTGTCAAGTATGATTTGGAAAATTTGACTGTTAGGTTGCTGCTTGACTTGCCTGCAAGCCAGATCTCCCAATTTTAGGACATTCCCTAAAGTCCTTGCAGGGTAGCTCCCAGTGCAGAGGTTGATGTGGAGTGGCCTGTCCAGTTTCAGACCCTTTTTTTGCTCCCTTTGGGAGTGGTTTGATTCAACTGAGTGGCCAAATAGACCAGTTCAGAAAGCGCGCAAGAATCAACCGCATTTCTTTGGCGGTGGAGACACCTGTGTGGGCCAGACCGGGTAAGGACTGCAGATTTCCTTTGATAAAATACGTCAGTGAACCAAGATGCGTTTTGCGGACAATCGACCACGGCTTCACAATCACTATTAGACTCACTTTCGGTTCAAATGCATCAATGGTGGGATTTAAACCCAGGTCCCCAGAACATTCACCAGGGTCTCTGGATGACGAGTGACATCACCATCACTGACTCCCACAAGGAAATAACAGCAACCGGAAAAAGGAGGTGGTTAACCCATGAGCTCCACCAGGACTAATCCAACGATGGAGCAGCAATCCCTCAGCGCCGACCCTCCGACAGTGCGGCACTCCCTCAGCGCCAACGCTCCGACAGTGCGGCGCTCCCTCAGCGCCAACCCTCCGAAGACACTATGGTCCCTTTGGTCTGACACTGGGATTGTTAATTAACAATATGGGCTGGGGCTGGAATGCATTAATTGCACTACCTGTTGACTCGGAGAGCAGAAGAACACTCTAAGTGACTGACATCTCCATGTATCATAAGCTCTGCATCATTAAGAGATGGAAGACATGAACTAAGCAGAAACAGAGTCTCCGGACCCAAGGGAGGTCATTAACCATGCTATCCCTATATGGTTCATTGTTTCCCAGCCAACCTTACCTGGGCCGTTCCAAGTAGAAGTGGATTCAGCACTTGCGTGACGCTGCCTTGGAAATGGTGGGGGCGTAGTGACGAATTCTGTAAGACAGGGAGAAAGCAACAAGTAAATGGTAAGGTCCACAGATATCCCAACAAGTTGTCCATCCAGTCACTGCCCCTGAAAGACTCCAACAACACATCCCATATTCTCCCACTGTCAGACAAAGTGTTTCCAATTCCTATTGAACTACACTCTCCTCTTACCTCTTCCTTTACTGCTCTTTCCCACTGTCTGCAACAATCCTCAATCATGGTGTTCCCTTTGCTATCCAATCTGAGTGCTATCTTTCCCTTATAGAGTCTCACAGCACGGCAACAGATCCTTTGGTCCAACTCGTCCATGCCGACCATAATCCACACTGAACTCATCCTACCTGCCTGCGCTTGGCCCATATGCCTCTAAACATTCCCTATTCATGTACTTGCCTAAATATCTTTCAAATGTTGTAGGGTCCCTGCATTTAACACTTTCCATGGAAGTTTGTTCCACACAAACTAGAATGTGTAAAAAAAATTGCCCTTCATGTCTCTTTTAAATCTTCTCACCCGACAAATATGCCGCTAGTCTTGAAATCTCCCACCTAAGGGAAAAGACACCGCCATTCACCTTATCTATGGCCCTCGTGATTTTATAAACCTGTATGAGGTCAACTCTGAACCTCCTACACTCCAGTAAAAAAAAAAGTCCTTGTTTACTTGCCACGCATCCTCTCTCTCTCTCTCTCCCCCCCCCCCCCACCCCCTTCTCCCGCTCCCCACAGACTCACCTGTGTCACATCATGTATAGACTCACCCTCTTTCCCTGCCTTAACCCAACACTCTTCCCCTCCACACATTCCGACCCTTCTGTCCTAGCTCCCCCTGCACATTTACCTCCTATCTCCTTCCACGTTTAAATACATTCTCACCACCACAAGTTAACTTCTCTCAGTCTCCCTAATCCTGTTTCTCACTCTGTACGTTTCGTCCTCACCCACCCACCACTGTGTATCCACCTGGTCTCCTGTATATTTCCCTCCCTTATGCACGACCAACTCTCTTCAACACCCCCCGACCCCACCACAGCCCGCTTGGTAGACTCCTCACCGCAACGTTCAGCAGCTGAGTTGGTGACATCCTCTCACTGAAGGGGGCCGAGAATCGCTGGTGAATCGGAGCTCGCACGCGGACAGGGGTGGGGCACAGGATGGATGGCTGAAAGAGCAGAAAGACAACAATTATGGCCTAACCCCAGGGGGCGCAAGGAGAAGACTAACAGCCCCAACTGAGAGAATAGAAAGAGAGCAGTTGTAGTAGCTATATGAGTTTACAGAGATAGGGAGGTTGTATGGGCTAGAGGAGGTGACAGAAATAGAGAGGGATGTAGTGTCTGGAGGAGGTTACAGAGATAAGGAGGGGTGTCGGGGCTGAAGGAGGTTACAGAGATAGGGAGCGGGTCTAGGGGCTGGAGGAGGTTACAGAGATAGGGAGGGGTGTAGGGGCTGAAGGAGGTTACAGAGATATGGAGGGAGTGTAGGGGCTGGAGGGGGTTACAGAGATAGTGAGGGGTGTAGGGGCTGGAGGAGGTTACAGAGATGGCGAGAATTGTAGAGGTTGAACAAAGTTAGAGATTTTTTTGTTTGTTCATTTTGTTGGATGTGGATGTCATGAGGTGGCCAGCATTTATTGCCCGTTCTTAGTTGCCCTAAGAAGTTGGTGGGGACCTGCCTTTTTGAACGGCTGCAATCCACCTGCTGTCATTAAGGAGGGAATTCCAGGATTTGCACCCGGCGACCGTGAAGAATGGTGATATACTGCCAAGTCAGGATGGTTAGTGGCTTGGAGGGGAACTTGCAGGGGGTTATGTTCCCATGTATCTGCTGCCCTTGCCCTTCTAGATGGAAGTGGCTGTGGGGAGATGGGGAGAATTTTGCGGCTGGAGGAAGTTACAGAGATAGGGAGAGCTGTGGAGGGCAGAGGAGATGACAGTGATAAGGAGGGCGGTAGGGGTTGAACTGAGTTTAAGATAGGGAGGACTGCAGAGGCTGGGATTTGTGACAGAGACATGGAAATGGATGAGGCCATGAAATAATTCAAACACAAGAATGGGGTAAAAAGAAAATCAGGACATGTAAAAACCAGGAGTCTACGTTGATCCAGGGGCACAGGATATGGTGGATGGACAGGATTTTGCTGGATACAAGGAAGAGACGGCGAGGAATGCTGAAACACAGTCTAGGGTGAGTTCCTGCTATCAACGAACTGCAAAGCTGCGCAGACTTACCTGCTGGATGGTGGCGTGGCCCACATGCTTGGGGGGTGTTCCGATGGGGGCCGTCCGTACAGGAGGGCTCCCGATCACGGGGGATGAGGACCTGGGCGGGGGCGCTCGGTCCGACAAGTCCCGCTCTTCATTACGTCCAAAGGCTGGTCTCTTGGGCAGAATGGAGTCTTTGGAGCCGGACAGAGCCCGGCTGTCCTACAGCAGGAGGAAGGAAGGGATTGTGATACAGCTCAGCCAGACAGCATTACACATGCACATCTCTTAGACATCAGACCATTCAGCCCTTTGAGCCTGCTATGCAGAAACAGAAGGAAGCCATTCAGCCCCTTCCCAACCTTCTGTAAACTTGTCCACGGGACATGGAAATGTCTGACAAGACCTGCATTTTGTTGCCCCTCCTTGACTGCCCTTGAACTCAGCCAATCCAGAAGGCAGTTCAGAGTTAAGCATATTGCCGTGGGTCGAGAATCACATGGAGGTCACACCAGGTAAAGAGGCAAGATTTTCTCCTTTGAAGAACACGAGTGGGTTGTTATAACAATGACGGTAGTTATATGGTCACCATCACATTAGATTTTAATTCTAGATGTTTGTGACATTCAAGTTTCACTACCCACCACAGCAGGATTCAAACCCAGAACATTAGGTCAGGTTTCAGATTACTCATTCAGTGACGTCACTACTACACCACTGCCATCCTACGTTCCCCAGGAACAGGAGGCCGCCATTCGGCCCCTTCTCCAGCCTGTTATACAGGAGCAGGAAGAGGCCATTCAGTTCCTTCTCCAGCCTGTTACGTAGGAACAGCAGGGCACAGTTCAGACCCTACATCAGTCAAGATGTTAGGAAGCACTTCTACCACACAAGGGGTGGTAGAGATTTGGAACTCTCTTCCACAAGTAGATGTTTGATCAGTTGTTAATTGTAAATCTGAAATTTTTGTGAAGGAAAAATATAAAGGGATTTGGGCCAAAGGCAAAAATATGAAGCTAAGCCCTAGATCAGCTACAACCTCATTGGATAGCAGAAGAAGCTTGAGGGGCCAAATGGCCCACTCTTGTTCCAATGTTCTAACAGCAAATGGCCCATTGAACCCATTCTCGTGCTTGTTTCAGAGGAACAGAAAGAGGACTATTCAGTCTCTTCTCTAGTCTGTTACACAGAAACAGGAAGAGACCCATTGAACCCCCATCTCAAGCCTGCTGCACAGGAACAGGAGAAGGCCGATTCTGCATCTCAGCAAGATACAAGACGACACCTCAAGCCTGCTTCACCATTCAATAATAACAATGTCCAACCACTGGCTAAACTGCACCTTCATACCATTTTTCAATTCCCTGGGACACCGAAATATCATGCATATCAGGGCAAGCATTACAACAAAGATGTACCCACAGACCTCTGGGGCCAGACCATCCATAAATTCACAAGCCTTCGAGAGAAAAGGTTCCTTCACCTCTCGGCCCGAAATCATCAGCATCTTATCCTGAAATTGCGTCAGTGTATTGCAGACAATACATAGCTTGGAACTACTGTGAACAGGATAACATGCATTGTCAAAAAAAAAAACCACCAGTTGGTGGAATGGGACTGCAGATCGCAGATAAAGTTCAATATGGTGTACAAATTGATTTTGGGAGCTAGAATGTGGAGAAGCAAAGTTAAAAAGAAGGACAATGCTCAAAGGGACAGAGATCTCGGGGTACAGGTTCAAAGCTCCTTGAAAGCCAAGTCGCAGGTAGACAGGATAGCGAAAGAGGAATTTGGTACGCTTGCCTTTATTGGTCAGTGCATTGAGTATAGGAATTGGGATGTCACCTGATGGCTGTACAGGAATTGGTTGGGGCCGCTTTTCCAACACTGCATTCAATTCTGATTTCTCTGCTACCAGAAGGATGTTGTGAAACTTGAAAGAGCTCAGAAAACTTTTTATAGGGTTGGAGGGTTTCAGCTATAGGGAGAGGCTGAATAAGCTGGAGATATTTTCCTGGAGTATCGGAGATGAAGGGTGACCGCCTACAAGTTTACACAATCATGAGGGGCATGAAGTGAGTAGTCAAGGTCTTTTCTTGAGGTAGAGGAGTCCAATATGAGAGGGCATAGGTTTCAGATGATAGAGGAAAGATTTAAAAGGGACATGAGGGGCAACTTTTTCCACAAAGGGTGGTGCATGTATGGAATGATCTGCCAGAGGAAGTAAAGACGGGTACAATTACAACATTTAAAAAGCATTGGATGGGTGCACGAATAGGAAGGGTTGAGAGGGATATGGGAAAAATGCTGGCAAATGGGACTAGATTAATTTAGGATATCTGGTTGGCATGGATGACTTAGACTGAAGGATCTGTTCCCGTGTTGTATGACTAACTCACCTGCACGCTGATCTTGATTGAAAATAAAGACATGGACAAGCTGGGAGTCAATCTTTCTCTCCACTTTGCTGCTTCCTATTTCTCTTCTCCACCACCTGTACAATGTCTGTACTACTCGAACTGAGGCCTCCCAGCTTTCAACCATACCTCCACTGCTGGCTGGCATCAAATGACCAGTGCCTAAAGCAGCAATCTTTCTTCCCTCCACACTTAAAATGCACTTCCTAACACAACTCTTGTCAAGCTTTCTGAAGTTACTTGATTTCTTTCCCCATGACTTGGTACCAAAACATTTCAACATTGATGTGAGATATCATTCTCAGTGTCTTAGGATGAGTGACCGTGTGAAACATGCAATACAGAAACACACCAATTCCTCCCACTGCTCTCCTCACTTCACTTGCATCCTGCCCCATCACTTCACCCATTGTCGCTCGCTGCCTCGGCAAAGTCCTTCGAATTATCCAGGGTAATCTGGGGCAATAGTGCCAGTAACCAGGTGTGATGCTGGTAACTGGCTGTGACATTGCCTTCTATCACATCTCAAACTCTGACACAGCGTGTGAGCATCTGCAAGAAGTGATTTCCACCCCCCCCCCCCCCAAACTACCTTGCAGCAACAAAAATAGTAGCTCTGGTCTCCTTGTTACAAGAGGGATATTATTAAGCTGGAAGGGGTTCAGAGGAGATTTACCAGCTTGTTGCAGGGAACGGAGGGTTTGAGGCTGGATAGGCTGGGACGATTTTCACTGGAGCGTAGGAAGTTGAGGGGTGACTCTGTAGAGGTTTATAAATTCATGAGAAGTACAAATAAGGTGAATGGCAAATGTCTTTCCCGTAGGGTGGGGGATTTCAAGACTGGAGTCACATTTTTAAGGTGAGAAGAAAAAGATTTAAAAAAGACAAGGGGCAATTTTTTTAAAAAATAGAGTGGTTCGTGTGTGGAATGAAATTCCAGAGGAAGTCATGGATGCAGGTACAGTTACAATGCTTAAAAGGCATTGAGATAAGTTCATGAATAAGAAATGTTTGGAGGGATGTTGGCCAAGTAGGACTAGTTTAATTTGGGATTACGGTCGGTACAGACTGGTTGGACCGAAGTGTCTGTTTCTGTGCTGTATGACTGTAGACTGGTGACTTAGTTTTCTGGGCGTGGGGGACAGAGTCCTTCAAAGTACATTCACATTTTATGGGGAGATTCTTCTGAGTGTACTAATAATTATTAGAGGGAGGGGGATGTCCTAGAGGCCTGACAATATTTTCTGCAGAGTCTCAATGATTGTTTAAACATTTACTGGTTGTACAGGGTTGGGGAGAGGGCCCCTGGGCTGGTGTGAAGGGTCTTTGGTTGCTCCAATGTTGAGAAAGGGGTTCCTTTAATTGTCTCAGTATTAAAACAAAATCCCTTTTTCAGTTCTGAGGAAGGGTCACTGGATCCAAAACGTTAACTCTCTCCACAGATGCTGCCCAACTGCTGAGCTTTTTCAGCAAGTTCTGTTGTTTCAAGTCATCCTTGACCAGCTCAATATATGCAGCATGGTTGAAGACAGTACACAGCCCAGACACCAGCTGTTTGCTTTCAACAGGTCTGTACTGGTCTCTGCATTCCACACAAGGCTCCAACCGCCGTCACGTCAGCAACAGATCTTTTCAGTCCTTTCTCACTGTGCTTATCCTTAAATACAGTAACACTGCTCACACCAAGCTCAGACTGTGGTCGCAAGTTTCAGATTCTCACTGCTCTCTGGGGACAGTAGTTTCTCCTACATCAAAACCAGATTTATTGACTGTCCCTAGTTGTTCTTGACAATGTGGTGGTTAGCTGCCTTCTTGAACCACTGCAGTCTAACGGTATTATCACTGGACTGTTAAACCTGAGACCCAGATAATGTTCTGGGGACCCGGGTTTGAATCCTGCCACGGCAGATGGTGGAATATGAATTCAATAAATATCTGAAATTAAGAGTCTAATGATGACCATGAATCCATTGACAATTGTTGGAAAAACCCATCTGGTTCACTAATGTCCTTTAGGGAAGGAAACTGTAATCCTTACCTGGTCTGACCGACATGTGACTCCACAGCCACAGCAATGTAGTTGACTCTTAACTGCCTTCTGAGCAATTAGGGATGGGCAATTAATGCTGCCCTAGCCAGCATTGCACTCATCCTGTGAATGAATGAATAAAAAGTGTCCAAGCGCTTTCAGGGAGGGAATTCCATGATTTTGACCCAATGACACCACAGGGACAGCAGTATGTTTCAAGTCAGGACGATGAGTGGCTTAAAGGGGAATTTGCAGGTGGGGTGCTCACAGCTATCTACCTGCCCCATTCATTTGGAAGGTACCGTCAAAGGAGGTATGGTGAATTTCTGCAGTGCATCTTAGTAATAGTACACACTGATGCCATGGATGAGTTGGACTGAAGGAGTCTGTTTCTATGCTGTACATCCCTATGACTCTAAGTTTCACAGCATCCTTCCTATAGCAGGTAGAGCAGAATCGAACACAGTATCACAAAAACGGCTTGAACAATGTCCTGTACAGCCGCAGTATGACATCTCAACTCCTGTGCTCAATGCACTGACCAATGAAGGCAAGCATTCCAGACACCCTCTTCGCTAAGCTGTCTACCTGCAACACCACTTTTAAGCACATGTATGCACCTGCTTCTCTAGGTCTCTGTTCAGCAACAATCTCCAGGACCCTCCTGTTAACTGTACAAGTCCTGCCCTGGTTTGTTTTATCAAAATGCAAAACCTCACATTTTTCAAAATTAAATTCCGTCCGCCACTCCTTGGCCCAATGGCCCATCCTGTTGTACTCCGAGGTAATCACTTCATTGTCCAGTACACCAATTTTGGTGTTATCTGCAAACTTACTAACCAATCCTCTTGTATTCACATCCAAATCATTCAAAAGCAGTGGACCCAGCACCGATCCTTGTGGCTCACCGCTGGTCGGTCACAGGCCCCCCAGTCTGAAAAGCAACCCTCCACCACCACCCTCTGTCTCCTAGCTTCAAGCCAATTTTATATCCAATTGGCCAGCTCCCACTGGATTCCATATGATCCAAACTTGCTAAACACTTGACAATGCCTAACTTTATTGAACACCTTGCTAAAGTCCATTTAGACAATGTCTACCGTTGTGCCTTCATCAACCTTGGTCACCATTTCAAACTCAATCGAATTAGTGAGAAACGATTTCCTACACACAAAGCTATGTTGACGATCCCTAATCAGCTCTTGCCTTTCCGAATGCATGTAAATCCTATCTTTCAGAATCCCCTCCAACAACTTGCCGACCACTGATGTCAGGCTCACCTGCTTGGTTCAACTTGATGAGGGGAGTGGTAAGCTCTGGAGCGCAGGTATTCAGTACTATTGCTGGAATGTGGTTAGGGCCCATAGCCTCTTCAGTATGTTTGACCATTTCTTGAAATTATGTGGAGTGAACTGAACTGAATTGACTGATGATTGGCATCTACACTAGGAAAGGACTGCAAGGGCCTTATCCTGCCACCAGTGGGGATGTAGGATCAGACCACCTCAACAATAAGCTGAGGGCTGAGTTTGAGGGCTTCAGTAACACGCCGAGGGTGAGAGATCAGTCTAACTCAGCTGCAGACTGGAGACTGAGTGGGAGGACCACAGTAACACATCTGGGGATGAGGGATAAACCATAATCTAGTTGTAAGCTGGTGCTGAGTATGCACAGACAGATAAAGCACCTCGATTTCTTCCCAGATTGACTGACAATATTGCTAAGAAAGTGCAGTATCATCACAGGGATAGAGCCTGGATGACACCTGCCCTATCAGTCATATACTGGATGACTTCAGGTAAATATTGCCCTTATGAATTTGCTTTACACTTACTCCAATGCTCCTCAACCCTTCTTAAAAAGAGGTCAGAACAGAGCACAATTCTACCAACTTCTATGTATATTTCTTTTCAATTTCCTTCTTCCAGCAAAGAATCCTAATGCTTAACTAACTTTGCCAATTCTAAATAACAATTTTATTCACCATCCTTGCCACCTTTAGCGTGTAATCTATCTGCACCAGCAGGTCTGATTTATTGTACTCTATGCCCTCCTAATAAAAAGTCGAAAACATTGTATGCTTTCCTTGCTGCTGTTGCTACCTGTTCTGACATTTTCCATGGTCTGTGCATATATATGCCCTGTTCCCTCTGCTCCTGCACCCCTTTTTGAATTGCACCTATTTTATAGGGATGAGTCAATGAGACACACACACCACCACCAGCATCACGACACCGCCCCCCCAACCTTAAATAAGCAGCAGGACTATTCTTCAAAGGAATGCACAGGCAAGATGCACAACCTCACGCAGTAGTTGCAGGAAATTAATTTTGATGCTGTCAACGAAGAAAGCAGCAAAGTTCAGTTAGCAGAAATCGAGGTGAAATAAACAAGTGAATCTACTTACCTCTAAGTGGGAAAGAAAAGGATTTCCGATTCCACCAAACACCATGGGCCCTTCCCACATGCTCGGGTTCAGTCGAGGGGGTGCCTGTGAGCAAGTTGCAGGGGTCAGTGAGAGACTTTTAAACAGGTAGGGATCATACAACGACAGTGTCTCCCAAGAAACCAGCCTGACTGAAACTGGACAAGAGGGTCAGCGAGCTGGTGCTGTGTGACACCGCAAACACACTAGGCTGGACTCACCTGCAGCGGAGGGTTGGATGGCACTGCCCTCATGATGGCCGGGTCCTCCAGGTCGCTGTCGATGACCAGCTTGCTGATGCTCTCCGCCAAGTTGTTTTCCTTTAAAAGGTCGTCTGGATCTCCTGTCGGATCGCCCAGGCCATCATGCTGCTCCTCCCAGTCCTCTGCAAAGCCAAACTCAAGAGCGTCAGATGGAGCTTTGGCTTTCGTTCCGAGCTAGAGCTAACTTCCTCATTCAGGAGCAATCCAACCACAAATACAAATCTCCCAAATCATAATTGACCCTCTGCCTAAAGACAGTCACCCATAACGCACAGCCAATGTACTGATACTCAAAGACCTCCTCAAATCTGAGTTCTCAAGTTTCTTTTCTAAACTGTAACTTTTTCATAAGATAGCTAATAGTTTATTCCAAAACAATTCAAATGGGGCATTACAGAAAATTCAATAATGGTCAACATATCTCCATTGAGCATAATGCAGTAAGTGCTTCAACATACTTGCACTACATTTAATAACTAGCGTACTTCTCAAAGGGGTTGATGGGTTCCTGGACTAAGGGGCTGCTGTGGGTCAAAAACTTTACACATTGGCTTTTCCAGGCTGTGCCATTTAGATTTAGAGTGTACCTAAATGGTGGTTCTGGGCCTTGGAATGTGCCAGTCAGCAGCAATCTGATGTGGAAAACTTAGGACAAAATGGAAAACTCACAAGCTTCCAGCAGTCCAATCTGTGCCTTCCACCAAGCTGACGGCCCTCCACCAGCAGCAGTTTGTACTTGATTTGGTATGCATCCCCAGGAACAGCACTTAGAGCACAGAGCCCTGACACACGGCTGCTGTTATGTTGTCACAGTGTGAGTGACAGCTAGACAGGGCAGTCAGAGGGAGAGGGAGACAAGAATAGAATATCTGAAAATGAACACTGAGTGGGCATCTGAACAAACCACAAAGGCCTTGACTTACCCACCGCCCCAGGCCCAAACGTGTCCTCATTGAACTGGTCGATATCGTGATCTTCCTCTCGGAGAGCTTCTTCATCTTCCTCGATTGGGCTGTCATCGAGGGACTGAAACGGGAAGATACATATCGTTACTGGCAAGTTGAGACTTGGGAATTCCTCAGGAATTGAAGAGACTGGACCTGCGTCCACAGGAGTCTGGAAAAATGACAGGCAAGTCCAGTGAAGCATGGAGGAAAGTTGCAGAAAGGACATTCCCCTGGCAGACAGCGAGGTCTAGAGCCAGCCGACATGGTCTCAGGAAAAACAGTCAAACTATTTAGGACTGACATGACTTGGAAGTTCCTTACCCAGTGGGTGGTGAATCTTCAAAATTCTCTACCCAAGACGACTCGGAGGTGCATTGAAAATATTCTGAATTGAAAATACTCCAAAGAGAGATCAAGAAACTTTTGGCCATTAAAGGTCATAAAGAATACAGAGATAGTGTGGAAAAATGGTGTCATGGTGGTTGAATGGCAGAGCAGATCGATAGGCCAAATTGCCTACCTTGCTTCTATTTACTCTGTTTCTACTTACAGAGTTCTGGTCTATAAAGCACTATGATAGTTGCTGCACACTGTTGTCATCTTCATTTAATAACAGGAGTTAGTGTGCTCATTTCTGGCCTCCACGTCACACAAAATTACTGTGCAGAGTTCATGTCTCCATATCTCACAGAGTCACTGGGCATAGGTCTGGTCAACGTATCATTCTGGGATTAACTGCTTACTGTTCTTGTTTCCATTTCACACATGGGAGCATTGTAGACATTCCAATCTTCAATTACGTCTGGATGGTGAGTTGCTTATAAAGTGGTGGTGTTCCCATGTATTTAGAACTAAATTGATTGGAATTAGATTTTATTGTCACGCGTACTCAAGTAGAATTTGTTGTCCTTCTCCTTCTAAATCCTAACAGTCACGGATGTGGAAAGTTCTGCCGAAGGAGTCTTGGTGAATTTCTGCAGCCCACCTTGCAGACAGTACATACCGCAGCTACAGAGCATTAGTCACGGAGGGATTCAATATTTGTGGATGTGGTGCAAATCAAGTGGGCTGCTTTGTCACAGACGGTGTCTTGAATGCATGTAACATTCAGAATAAGCACAACCACAGGTTAATGGGTATGATTTTATAGTCATTATTGTTTACAAGGAACTCAAAGCTGGGAAATAAATATTCAGGGCTACGTGGCTTTTCAAACGAACAGGCAGGAAGCAAAGGATGGTGGTTGGAATTGTTGGTACAGGATGGAATAAGTATAATGACAAGAAATGATTTTTATTCAGAGGATACAAGATACACATGAGCGGTGGTAAGAAATAAAGAGGGGAAGACAGCACTGGTAGCAGTAGTAAAGAGGTCCCCAAACAGCAGCTATAACAAAGGCAGTATGTTAACCATGGCTATCTTTAATCTTAATGTAGATTTGGGATAGGCAGATTGGCAGAGATGGCCATGAGGAAGAATTCAGAGTATTTTGGACAGTTTCCGAGAAAAATAATCCAACAAATAACTGTGGGAGATGGAGATCTGAAAAACAAAAACAGAAACACCCCACCAAACTTCATATCCAAAGCGTCATAAGCCACCATTTCCACCGCCTCTGCTGGGGGGGAACGCCGCCATCAGACGTATATCGCCTACCCACACTCGTCAGCAATCTGCACGACCATTCCCCCAGGAAAAATGGTTCACTCATCCTCCGCTCTCAACACTGCAGTACCCGCTCATGCTATTGCAGAAGGTACAATGTTTGCCCGTTTACCTCCTCCTTCTTCATTATCCAAAACCCTAGACACAACATCCAGGAATAGCAGGAATTCACCTGCACTTCATTTAATCTAGTCTGCTGTATTTGCTGCTCACAATGAGGTGTCCTCGACCCTGGAGAAATGAAAGACAACCTGGTGACCTCTGCACTACTTTTCTAACTTCTGGTATTACATCCTGTTCTGCTTCCGAGATGCTTCTTGGTTGGAATTTATAATCTTGGTAATCACACAACATAATAACCACCAGACTAGTTGAATCAAGAGACTCAAATCACCAGGAATGTCAAAATGCCACTGATCACTGAAATTTTCTCCTCTACTGTTAGCTTGGACATCTACCGAGCACCACCTCCAATTCTATTACCCTCACTCATGTTTTGTGCTTTTTTTTACAGTTTACTGAGTTGGATAAAAGTAGCTGTTAATCAATATCTTTTCTAAGACATCTTGATGTTTCAAGGCACTGAAGGCTAGCTTATATACCCAAAGGCATTTGATAAGGCGCCACACAGGCCAATTGCCGATGATTACACATGTTCAGCACCATTCATGACAGCTCAGATATTGAAACAGTCCATGTTCAAATACAGCAAGATCCGGACAATACTCAGGCTTGCGCTGATAAGTAGCAAGTAATATTTGCACCACGCGAATGCCAGGCAAAGAGCACCTCCAATAACAGACAAAGTAATCATCACCCCTTGAATATTCAATTAAGTTACCATTACTGAATCCCCGCAATGGCAGTGAGCAACTCATCTTCCTGACTACCCAGAGCCTGTCCACCATCTACAAGGCACAAGTCGGGAGTGTGATGGAATACTCCCCACTTGTCTGGATGTGTGCACTCAAGAAGCTTAAAACCATATGATGTAGGAGCCGCGTCCTGAGGATTACCATCGACCAGAAACTCAACTGGACTTGCCAAATTAATACAGTGGCTACAAGACCAGGTCAGAGGCTAGGAATACAACACCTCCTGATCCTCCCAAAGCCCATCCACCATCTACAAGGCACAAATCAGGGATATGATTGAATACTCTCCACTTGCCTGGATGGAAGCAGCTCCAACAACACTCAAGAAGCTCAACACCATCCAGGACAAAGCAGCCCATTTGATTGGCACCACATCCACAAACATCCACTCCCTCTAGCACTGTGGCAACAGTGCGCACTGTCTACAAGATTCACTACAGAAATTAATCACGGATCCTTCAAAGGCACCTTCCAAACCCATGACCACTTCCATCTAAAAGGACAAGGTCAGCAGATACATGGGAATACCACCCCCTGCAAATTCCCCTCCGAACCAGTCACCATCCTAACTTGGAAATATATCATCGTTCCATCACTGTTGCTGGGTCAAAATGCTGGAATTCCCTCCCTGTGTGAGTCTACTAAAAGCAGATGGACTGCAGCTCACTACCACGTTCTCAAGCACAACTACAACGAATGCTGACCAGACAGCGATGACCATACCCAACGAGTGAATAAGGAAAGGCTACAAGAGTGCACAGTATTGAAGGCAGTATATTAGCGTGGATATAGGATTTGCTAACCCATAGAAGACTGTGCCATGATCATGGGGACATTTTCAGGACGGCAACCTGTAACGAGTGGAGCGTCACAGGGGTCAATGCTGGAGCCACAATTATTTACAATACATGTTAATGACTGGATGAGGAAAGTGAATGTACTCTCGCAAAGTTTGCAGATGACACAAAATAGTTGAGTAGGCAAGTAGCGAGGATGACAAAGAGTCTGAGGAGAGATACAGACTGGCCAAATGAGTGTACAAAAACTTGGTAGAGGAATACAATGTGGAAAGATCTGTGGTTATGCACTTTGGCAGGATGCATAGAGAAGTTGAATACTATTGAAATGGAGATAGACTGCAGAAAAGTACAGAACATAGGAGTCTGAGAGACCTTGTGCATGAATCTAAAAAGTTAGCAAGTTCAGTGGGGAAGAACGAAGGAAAGTGAAATGTTGGTCCTTATTTTAATGGAGTATAAAAGTCTAAAAAGGTTGCCTAAAACTATGCAAGACCAGAACTGATACACCGTGAACAGTCTGGGCTTCTTATCAAAGGAGGGGTAAACTGGCATTGGAAGCAATCCAGAGAAGAGTCACTGAGCTGATACTGTGTTTGGAGGGTCCATCTTATGAGAAGAAGTTGAGTAAGTTAGGCCTGTACTCACTGAAGTTTAGAAGAATGAGATTCTAAGGGGATTTGACAGGGTAGATGCAGAAAGGTTGTTTTCTCTTGTGGGAGTATCCCAGACCAAAGGATTTAATCTCAGAATAAGGGGTCATACATCGAAGAGAGATACAATGGAACTTCTTCTCTCAGAAGGTAGTGAATCTGTAG